AAACATGACGATGTCGAAGCGTCTGTGAACAAGGCTCCCGATACCCAGTTGTAGCTGAAGCTGCCCGTGATCGTACTTCGTAGGCGAAAAGGACTGCAAGATGGGTCCGTTAGTCGAAACGCAGACTTCTCGAACAAAAAAAATTAAAAGTCTTGGTTCCAGAGCACATTTTGACAGGAGCCAGCCGCACTCGGCGTCCTTGGTGCGTCAATTAAGGAAAGAGGAAAAGTTGACCTATGAATTTTTGACTTCGGGGATGGAACCAATATGAGGAGCATAGCCGTACGACACTCATTTAGCCACCCAACGTTGAATGTTGGGTAGAGGAATAGCGACGAAGTAATTTTCAGTGCGTAGTCGTCGTTGATCGCCTAAAGGACCGTCATCAGATAATTTAATCTGGCACTAGTTTACTCGAGCCTAACTGAATTTTTCCTTTTCTATCACCTTCATCCTCTTCCATGGTAAAGCTACGAGGTGTGTGGAGTGATCTACAGGAAGTAGAGTAGTAACTCGGGGGTGTCGAGCCCAAATTTACATTACAAGGCATTTTTCGATTCAAGCGAGAACTTCATTGTTGAGTGCAAACTAAGCAAGAGGTAAGAGCGCGCTCCAACTCGTCCATGAAGTCGCTTAATTTTATTAACGTCATCGAGGACTCTATTTGCTCGCTCGATTTGCCCTTTTGTTTTCGAATGATCCGTTGTCGACATATACAGCCTCTTTTCAAGGATTTTGAACAATGATGTCCAACATGTGGATTTGAATCAAGAATCACGGTCCTAAGCAAAGTTTTAAATAAAACGGTGATTGTAAAATAGAAGTTTCTGTAAAATGCACCTCGTCCCCAACCGCGGTGGTGGTGGCATGAAAGGGCACTATATTTGTCAACTTGCGAACTCTATGTGCACAAAGAATACAAATATAAATGTCTTCAACACAGATCGCTGGCCCAAAGCCAAAGTTCATCGACATTTAGCACCTAGCCTAAGCTGCAACTGGTCAGGGTCGCACGGGTGCCTGCGACGGGGACGTGGATCCTCCCGTTGGCATAGTATGAGCGCACGAATCCTTTGGCGAACTTACTAGTACATGCGGGGCTAAAAGAGGCACGAGACACAGCCGCCAAAGTAATATTAAGGCCTGGATGACCACCATCATGGGGCATCAAAGAACTCGTACATTTCTAGAACGCAATTCGAAGTCGATAGCGATCATGGTTGGGAAGCATCGAATTGATCGATGCTGTACAAAATCTAAATTCCGTGAAATATGAATCTCTGAAACTGAGCAAGCATCGCTCGAGAAGAACTGTGAAGTTCTTCTTAGTCGTTTTGATCTGTCGGGATTGATAGCCGACAAATCGTCCACTTTTCCAAGAATTGATTTGCACAAAGGCACAACCAAATTCATAATGGCTTTCATCGCACACCACGTGGGATTGGTCATAATCTTCAATTAGGACCGGCACTGGTTCTGACGCCTAAGTAACCTTCACAGCGTCAAAGGTCGCTTGAAACTCGGGACCCTTCGCTACGCGGCTTCAATTCAAAGAGTAGTTGTAAAGGCTATATAGAACCAGGTAATTTAAATGCATACTTGTGCAAGTATTTGTACATGCCGAGCCATTATTGCAACTCCTTAATTTTTTAGAGCATGGGCCAAGAACATGTAAAAATCTCTGCTCCGGGTCAGATCAAAATACCGATAAACTCACAAAACTACCCATCACCATAATCTCCGGACCACAGAATACACCCTTTTTGTAAATTAGAATACAATTCTTTGTCTCCCATGACAAGAAATACGGTTTTTAAGTGTTCTAGAGGATTTTGGACATCGCTGAGCTTTCCCTAAGAGCGAATGTTCAAGAAAATGTCATCGTAGTAATTAGTGGCAAAATAGAGAAATGGTCTTAGCACATGAGACAACATGCGATTAAGGGCGTTTCTTGTATTCTTGAGTTCGTGTGGCGTCACCATCCACTCGCGCAGCACACCACTAAGGGTCTTCACCGCTATGAGTTGTATGTCGGTCGTTCGCATCAGGACATGCTAGACACCATTAATCAGTTCAATGATACCGAAGTTTACACTTCCAGACATGGAGTTCAACACACTGATCTTTCTAAGAATAGGTGCTTGCGCAGGATTATCGGCGCCATCTATCTTTCTAATTTATGTACTATGTGCTATCCTCCCAAAGTCTTCTTCGCGGAAAAGATTGAGCTTAAATGTGAAGCGGTGCTTAGTGCACATACACCGAATGCGGTAGTAATTGAACAATTCGCTAGTATCCTCGGCTTTTCCTGACGCAACGGACACTGCTGCATCATACAATAATTCCAATCCGGGACACGATTATTCTCGTGCTGAACAAATTGATCGGCAGTAAATTCAGCTAAATCCCTATCAGGAAAATGAACTTGCACACTATTGAGCAGTGATAAAGACAGAATTAATGTACGCACAAAGGCATACTCCCAAGAATGTGATATAAAGCAATTTTCACGCGCTGAAATTGATTCAGCACGTTGTTTTCTTTTCATTTAACTCAGAGGCCAACTTGTTTATATTCAGAAATAGCTGTCGCATTGTGCCTTACTCAAATTTACATTATAATTGCTACCAGGAGAGTCCTGGAAGGCTCTTAATCGAAGACGCGTCGCGAGGTGGACTCCTAGTATCGATGTATCGGCACCTTTGTGGACTCTCTTCTATGTACGCGATAGCATAAACGCATTTCTGCGCTTAATTATCGATTAAATTGTCCTAAGGCTGCTCCGAGTCCATTTTCGAAGTAGGCAAATCGAAATTAGGTGACAAACTACAACTCAACCCATTAAAAAACTAGTAGTCATCATCCATGATTCCGAAACGCGTGACCCAACTAACCCGTACTCAATGGTCGAAGCTTCATTGGAAGTCCTACTGAACTTCCTTTTTGACCCGATTTGGGATACCTTGCCCGGTCACAAGTTTAGTATCTAGAAAATTTGGTTTAACCACAGTGAGTGATGATGTTAGCTCTGCTTCGGCCATCATGCTCTCTCGTGGAGACTCATGTCCGCAAGCGGCAAAAAAATGGTGAGTGCTCTCTCGTCCACATAATGCCCTAGTTGTAGCCTCTGCTCAAACCCAAAGAGTGTCGGTTGGACATTCCGGTTCAACCACTTGTTTTTCTCGGCCAGAAACCTATGTCAAAGCGGTCACGAGTTAACTTACGGTTCAGTTGGAGTAGGGGATTGGGCGGATCGCACAACTCAACTAGGTCCAAATGGTTACAATTTGTAAACACGAACTGGGACGGATGGCTAGCGATAGCGCACCTTACCTTAGTAAGCAGGATCGATATCAATTAGTTCAAGGCTAGATAAAGTGGGACCAGTTGGATTGCGTGATATATCGTGAGACAAAGCAAAGAAAGATTTATGATTCCTCACCTAGGGAACACAGATCCTGGCTTAAAATCCCGATCCGTACCCAGGACCAAAATCAGGACCCAGGATCGCGTTCCGGACCCAGGATCGCGATCCAGACTTAAGATCGCGCTCTAAACCTAGGATCACGATCATGATCCGAGGTACAATGGTGGTGATACATCGGGTGAACCGCCAGTGAAACGTTTGCTGATACACCTGATGTGGGCCACACCAATGCGAGAGGACGATCTCTGTAATGGTGACGCATGTCATCCGGGTAGAATAAACGGATAAACATAGGGTAGGTTGTAGGTTGATTTGTTATCATAGAAGATAATTCAATTTACTTCGAGATACGCACGCAATCTCGTCCGGGTAGAATCTCTGGCCTCCTAACGAATTAGAGTCGCGTTACTCGTCCATATTAGTTTCGCACTTGGATTGTTTGGCCAGTTGCGTCCAAAAAATTTCAGGTAACTGCGACCGACGCAGCAATATACTTAAAGGCAAGGCACAAGATTTCAAAAGAATCAATTTGTCAGAAGGCTAGCATTCCAAGAACCCACACGGTGGGCGAGGCGATCTCGTTAAGATCTGGGTAACTTATATCAGTACCCCACCGGCACCCCAGTAATCGCGCGAAGATATCCGCCCGATCACACAAAAAGACATCCCCAACACGGTCAAGTGTCCCTCCACACAAATCTACTTGGAAGAGCGCAACCCGCCCTACTGACGGGTACACAAGGTAAGAGAAGCAATATACACGGAATCGGAGTACCCCTCATTAGTCGGTCGTCTGGACGCTAGCGGACTGTCTTGGTCGTCTCAAGAAATGAGCGATCACTACTCCCCCACATTAGTACGCGTGCCCGGATCTTATAATGACTTGTAATATCACCGTGAGTCCCGGTATGAGTAGGTGAAAGCCAAGACTGAATCTGGGATGTATCGTTGGAGGCAAAGGGATTGCTGTAACAGGGTGCCCTTTGTCTGGGTTCCACAAAACTTCACGTACACTAGCACGTGCAGAGGAAGCTAATCTACTCAACGACTCGTTTAAGTAAAGGTAAATTCGAACTGTTCTACTACATTTAAGCTATCAATATAACTTTAGTCTTTATTGAACTATATTAAACTACGTCGTCGTCTTATGACGACAACCTGCTCACCATTCATTGCGCGCGTCTAGCAGCGATTGGTGGCAATCTATGGTGAATATGTCTTGTATCAACCATTCTTGGAGCAGCACGTGAATCTTATCCTACAAGGGGATAATGTTCCTTCCATATTATCTATCATGGATAACATTGGTAGAATATTGTCATGCTAGACAATATCTCTATTCACACCGTTTTGTGTCAATGTCATGTAACGGCCTACCCTGATACGTCACCCCCCCCCCAAAGTATCAATTACCCGTTGATTGAATAGAATTGATTGGGACAGGGTGACCACCGTTGGATCACTCCAGGAAAGGGAACACTTGTTGGTCAAATTCCATTCATTGCCAATCCAATGCATGGTTTCGAAAATTACGCGAGCTGCTACTGCAGCAGCAAGAAAGACGGCTGCACGCATGAGTGCAGCCGCGAAAAGTGCCATTTACACGTCAGCAGCAGGGGATTGGTCGCCTGCTGTTGTGAATTGTCCACGTGGTGAGCAACCACGTGCGACAGGTACATCCGTTTCGACTGCAGCGGGTAATATGAGTCGTAATCAAGATGAATCTGTGATAGAGCTTATTCATTCCGGCGAGTCGAATGATGCATCCGACTCCAAGGCGACGCCTCGCGCCTCCGGATCACCCGGGGCGAACTCTGCAAGATCCATGTTGACTGGCTCTGGTCATCGTGGCGGTGTCATGTCTAAGACCTTCGGATCGAGCGATGGTTCCGAAGAATCTCCGCCTCACGCAAGTCCATCCAACGATAGACGCGTGGGGGTGGCGTTGATGCACCTATACATCACCACGAGCGAAGTAACTCGAGAGATCGAGGTGTCACTGGTGTCAGTGCTCGTGCTGGCACCAATAAAGAGGCCAGGGACCGAAATGTCCTGCGCCACGATCCTTAAGTGGAGTCTACTTGGATGCCTTCATCCAGACAGTTAAACCGGTTGGCCGGTATGACTACCGAACAGGATCGTATCGTGTTGTTCGATTGCAGGAAGATCTGCCCTCCTGATTTCAGCACGGAACTATTCGTGCTAAGGAAGAGTTCTTTATCGATGCTTTTTCAAACATTAGTTGTACAATGGCAGCCGTGTTCGAGACGGCAAAGGCTTGGTGCAAGGATGGAATGCCCTGATCCATAACATCGAGTGCACTGGCCGTGAGGCCTGGCTCGCCAACCTTGATGCAGCTCGCATCAGAATTGATTGGCACAACCCAGTCGGGGCGCGAACAAGTTGCACCGGCTGTCAAGAGAGGAAGGATGCCCTATCTCTCGTCGGGAAATTTGTGTCCAGGTTGCCTGGACAACTCAATCCATGTTCCTAGGAAGGCCTACCTCCCTAATGAATCCAACTGGAGGGCGCGCATCTCTTCCGAGATACCTGAATGGATTGACACTTTGCAATCCCTGTACTCGCGTTCACGGAGGTCGTTGTCTGACGGCCCTTCTTCAAATGCAGCGGGTGGGTCTCGAGGTACTGCTTGACGAGACCAAGAACATTAACAATTAGCTGGTCAAGAGGCTCCCAGCTGTCCCACACCGGTGGATAGCCACGCCAGCGGACGAGATAACTCGTCCGTACGCCATTCACATTGCGGTAGCTCAAAATACAGTCCACTAGAAAGCGTTGACCACCGCTTGAGTCCACCAAAGGATGTGGTGGCAGCGGGAATACCTGATCCGGCTCGAGAATTCGATCGGCTTGATGTTCAAGAGCTGAACCGTGTAACGAAACAGTTGCAAGATGACCTGGCTCACGAAGGGACTCGGCATTACGAGCTTCAGGATCTGGTAAGGGATAATTGCAATTCCCTAATGCACGATCGTCCGGACGATCGTGCCACGTTTGCGTTTGCACAACTTGAGAACAAACGTTTGTCTCGTTCTAGTCGTGACGAGCTGAATGTAGCTCGTCGATACATTGCTCAAATGTGTGATCAGGTCGCTTCGCTAGTCGACTGAACTGGCTCGTTGAAACAGGATCATTAGAAAGCGGTCTCGGCTCTCGACCGCGGAGGTGTTCTTCGCATCTCGAGACGGGCTCGTACAGATAGTACGGGTGGAGACGTCCAACGTAAAGCGTAGGATGCGTACGCATCTTACGGGGCAGTTCAACCGTGTATGCGTTGCCCATTCGGCGCAACAGATGAAATGGATCGATATACTTGGGCAGTAATTTACTGCTGCCCACGTTTGTCACTGCGTGTTTCGGTGGATTTAATGTAGACAGTAAAACTAAGTCTACCTTTATCAAATGAAAGAACATTTGCTCTTCCATGTTTGTCTGCGTTTCTTTTCCGCTTTTAGATTGCATCTGCTCTAGAGTCTAGAATGAAGTGGACAACCGCTTCGCGAGTCAGCATAAATTTCTCAACTAATTTATCCTTGTAAACAGCAATGCGCTTCTTGTGCACTGCTGAATGGACGTTGTCTTCACCAGTGAGGGCATCATCGTCTTCACTGAGGCAGTCGTTGAGGATGCTGAACAAAACAGCATCGTCCTCATCATCATCATCGATGTCGATCGCATCGACATCGGCATCCATCACGTCGACACCTTTGTCGACGGGTGATGAGCAAGAACCAGATCTTTCATTGTCCGAGCGAGTCCATTCCCCTTAAACTAGAGTCACACTCTAAGAAGGCTATCAAACGTGGATGGTGTAGGCCATCTACGAAGAAAGGTGTAAGCGTTATCGACGCAGGCATCGAGTTGTTGATGGCAAATTCCGTCATCGGCAAGAACTCACTCCAGCTCGTAAACGAGTGGACAGACCCTCGAAGTATCTCTTCGAGGACGCAGTTGAAGCGTTCCGTCTGACCATCTGTTTCAAGATGGTCAGAAGTTGACATCGTCAAACGTGTTCCAAGTGAACGGAACACGGATTGTCAGAACTCCGCTGTAAAGCGGGGGTCCCTATCGGACACGATGTTATGAGGTAACCCGCGAAGTCGGAAGATAGTATCGATGAAGACACGCGCACAGCATTTGGCTGTGATTATCTCCGGTAAAGAAACAAGATGTACCACCTTGCTGAAACGATCAACAAACACAAGAATACCAGCATTTTTGTGAGCCTCTTCATGAAACTTAAAGACGAATTCCATTAATACGGACTGCCAACACTCTGCCAGAATCGGAAGAGGCTGCAAGGCTGCGCGTGATGAAGACCTAGGCTTCACCCATTGACAAAATTCGCAAGCGCGAATGCATTTGCGCACAAACGCATACTGGCGGGGCCAGTAGAAGTCACGACTTACCGTGAGGTGATTCTTTTGCCTACCTCGATGCCCACTTGTTGGGGCATTGTGACACTCGTATATGATGCGCAGTCGCAAATCATTATTAGCCGGAACGACAAAATGAGGCGTGTCGCCGTTGACTGCTGTACAGTACAGCAGTCCATCACGAACAGAATACCGTTCGGTCGAAGAGCGGTATTGAGACGACAAGCTTTTCAAAGGTCGACTGCACGGATTGGATTAGTGATCCATTAATTGCAGAAGAGACTCATCTTCTGCGTATGCTCTTCGCATATTGCCGATCGGATTCGATGACGGAACACTTACTATTAGTGTCTATACAGAAGGATCACCCCTACTGCTGTGCTGAACAGTCGGCTCGAAATCGGGTCGACGGGAAAGAGCATCAGCGACGACATTAAGTCGTCCTGGTTTACGCTCGACGAAGAAGTTGCACTCCGCGAATAAAGACAGCCACCTCGCCATTCGTTGCAAGAGGTGTGGACTGTTTACGGCCGTGCGTAACGACGCATGGTTGGCATAAACGATGAAGGGCCTATCTCCTAAGAGATATACCTGAAACTAAGCCAGTGTGTACTTCGTGGAAAGGAGATTTTGTCATGCAGTGGGTAACTACGCTCAGCTGCTTGAAGCTGACGCGATTGATAATAGACGACGCGCTTAACGCCGTCTGAGTCGTACTGCATTAACGCGCAGCCGATTGCAAGAATCGCTGGCTTCACAGACCACATGAGTTGGTATGTCCTGATCTGCAATTGCACGCACAGGCGATTTTATCAAGATTTTCTTGATACCTTCGAAGGAGTGGTGAAACTCAGCACTCCTTGACCACCTCTTGTGTTTCTTTAGCAGACGAGAGAGATGTACGGTTTCTCGGCATAGTTGCGCGAGTATTTGTGCTAGTACGCCGTCGAGCCAAGGATTTTTCGAAGTCCCTTGATGTCGACTGGCACAGGCCAGTCGCTTATCGCCTTGATCTTTTCCGGATCAGAACGTACGCCGTTTTTAACCACGATGCAGCCAAAAAGTGGTATTTCGTTAGCTGCGAATATACACTTCTTGAGGTTCGCAAACAACTCATGTCCTCGCAATAGTGTAAGAACCTTCTGGACGTGGATCTGCGAACCTCCACGTCCGTCTATCCATCCGTAGCCCGGCGAAGGACGAAGAGATCGTCAAAGTAACTCGGTGCGAAATCGCGCACCGATCGCAATGGATTCGTAACACATCTGTTAAACGTTGCGGAGGCGTTACTTAGCCCCTGTGGCATCACTAGTCACTCCCAGAGCATACCACTAGGGTTTTCACTGCTGTATACGGGATATCCCGTTCACGCATGATGATCTGATAGAATTAATCCATTAAATCCGTGGACGAGAAGATGGTACTCTTTGCCAGACCATCTATGATGACGTCCTTCCTTGTTATCGGCGATTGAGCCGTAATCGTTGCAGCGTTCAGTTTGTTAAACGTGTGCACTATCCTCCACCCTCCTGTGGTCTTTCGCGCACAGAAGGTCGGAGAGCTGTGTGGGGATGTTGATCACCTGACATGAACAGCAGCTAAGCGATCGGCAAAGAATTTGCCGATCGCTGTGACCTGTTCACGAGGCAGTGAACACTGCTTCGTGACACAGTATGTCGAACCGGGTTTCAGTTCGATCTAATGCCAAGTGGCTTTGTCCTTGGGCAGCTCGCATGGCACGGATTTTAGCAAAATATCCCTGAATTCAACCAAATCTTTGTACAAAGTATTTATCTTTAAAGACCTCTACGATTGAGACGTGTATCGCTCAATCCGAGTCTTCTCATTGAGGACACTCTCGTCCATAGATAAGCTACTAAGAACCCGTTTGTTCTCAGCAAACACTTGTGCCGACCGAATCTCGGCGACGCGTACTCGTCCTCTGTGACGAGTGCGCAAATCTGCTTAATCTTGTCACTGCGCAGATCACGCAAGAATCTTATAATTTTCTAGCGTTGGCGCCTTGACTACCTCTGAAGCTGACTTCGGGGGCGTAATCATATCAAGTGTAGCGCCCACACTTGATCCGTCATTCACCAAGACATTCGCTGACTCGGTGATTTCCTGGGAAAACACATCCACAGGTGGTTAAGGATCCACACCCTCAACATTATTTTCTCGGGAGTTATCTCTCTCAGGAACGCTGATTTTTCCTCCGTTACGTCTACTATCACGGTCAATTCCTCTTCGATCGACTCTGATTCGGTCGATCGGGCTTGCTCTACGATCGACTCTCTGATAGTCGATATCGCTTCAACGTGTAGTTCATCCTGAACAACACTTATTTTTCCTTTTGCATGCACCCTTATTGGTGTGCATCCTTCTTCCAGTCCACTCGATTTCTTCGAGTGGTGAACCATCGGCGCAGCCTGTATCTCTACACAGGTGCCAGAAGCTGGTTTTATGGTGTAGTGGCCTTTTACCCGGTGATCTTGTGCGATTGTAAGAACGACCGTACCACAAGTGGGGCCATCTCACTCGTAGTACGTCCACACGCTTGTGGACGGTTCAAGACGTGCATCAGATGGCCTTCCGATGAACAAACGGCAGACACCTTTACGGACTGATGCTTCCAGCAAATTCATGACTGGTATTTTTAAGCCATGGCAGACCGAGGATGACATCAAATTTGTCATCCAAATCTAGTACGATGAAGTCATCATCGTACTGCTTTCCTTCTAGCGTGTAGTGGATTCCCAATAAACGTTTGTTCACTGCTTCGGATGCGCCTGAAGCAAGGCACACCGTCATCCTAGGTATAGGATACTCTCGATCAACACAGTTGAGCCTACTATCCCCGAGCGACTGGCGTCGAATGAAACTGATCGACGCCCCACAAAAAACTAGGGCGCCAAGTGACATTCCATTTGTCACTTCGACATTCAAAGTAATGAGAGACTCCTCATCACTAGGGGCAGTGTAACACACAGAGACTGCGTGTTGGGAGCAATCTTCGTCAAGAGTCTTGCAATTCTCTTGATGTGTCTGGATCAGCAGGGTGCTCCGCCCCTACTGACCCTGTCCGTTTTTTTTACGGTCCGACTTGCTGTCGCGGCTAAGCGAAATGGAATTTCACCTCGAACCTTTCCTTGGCCAACGGTGGTCATCAAGTCCTGTCTTTAGACGTGTTGCGGTGCTCGGGACACTACACTCATGATCTTAGTGTCCAATCTTCTCACAGCGATGGCATCTTACCGTTAGCTTGTGACTCAGAGAGCTAGAGTTCTCGCTCTCATAAAACAGAGGTCCATTGGCTCGGGATCTCTTGTTTCCTATCGTCTTGTTGGACGATAGTTTGATGAGTTAGCCTGAGACTGTCTCAGGCTAAGGTCTTTTTGTTCCGCATGCGCTATCGCCTTTTTCAGCGTATGGAAGTCCTCTCGGAACATGTAGGTCTTCACAGGCCTATCCACAACGCCGTAGATGAACACGTTGATGAGCGTGTGCTCATCAACAGAGTTTTCCGTAACCTACTCGCAAGATAGGGCAGGTGCTGTGCGCAAGCATGCACGTCACGCTTACCTTGCGACCGCCTCAAATGTGCAGAGCATGCTCTGAACTCGGCTCTCGGCGGCTCAAACGCCTCTTCAAGCCGAAACATTAAGATCTTTAACGACCCAAACACGTTTGAGTCGTGAAGCTTGAGCCCTAAGGCCCAACTCTTTGCTCGACCCATCAAATTTGCCGGGGCGAAGGTGACTTTCATCTCGTCATTCTCGATGTGAAGTGCCCTGATAACATCGTCTAACTCGACGAATTATCTCAAAAGGAAATCTTCATCGGTTCCCTTGTACCTTGAGATATCAATCTTCAAGGTTTCGGGTCGACGCATGTGCGTCGGCCCATTCATAGAGTGCTATACTGAGCTATAGGGGCATGATGGAAGAATGGACTATGTAAACACTTCAAACTGCCGTGCGTAGGAACACGGATACCTGTCGAATCCATACACAATTGATCGTCTCCTACACGATGTGAGGTTCTCAAAGCGCCATCAGATACTGGCCGATGTGTTACTCCATGGAGCTCGCTTCGACACCGCTATGGGCTGTTTGCCACCAGCGAAATTGTCGCACAAAGCAGGTTATGGCTAATTGACGTTGCTCGTTCCTCTGTTTTTAGTGCGGTATGTTGGTGGAGCGTCGCTATGCGCGATTATTGTTGTATTCGAGGAATCCGTTGTGAAGACATAGCAGTGGGGGAATAGCTCAGTGGTAGAGCGCTGGATTCCAGACCAGCGGTCGGGGGTTCGATCCCC